ATCAATTTGAGCTTCACGCACCAATAAAATTTTACCGTACTCAATCGTGGACTCTGGGGTTGATGTGAAAATTTTCAATCCCATGTCAAAACATCGCGAAAACTGCATAAGGATGCATACAAATACCACGAAACTCTGAAGAACTCCAAATATCAGCAAAGAATTTTAAACGTAGAGCAGAGTAGCTTCTGCCCGCTAATTTTTGGATGCACCGGTGGCGCTGCTCCAACAGCCACGCGAACGATGCAGCGCTTGGCCGAAAAACTAAGTGAAAAAAGACAAGAAAGCTATCCAGAATCTATAAACTACATAAGAACTAAAATAAGCTTCGCGCTCCTGAGGAGCTCTATACTTTGTATAAGGGGGTGCAGATCGCTACGCAAAGTTCAATTTATCGACAACTCCATAAGCGCTATTGTAGAGGAAGGACGGCTAAGATAAATTAACATTACGACGATGCATTTAATGCTGATTTATGACTTCATTGCTGATATATATGCATTTTTATATCGCTGGTATGGCCCTATCCAGCTTGTGCACTTACCGTAACTAAATGGAAGGGCCCTTTTTGTAATTTAGTTTTTTTTTAATTGAACGAATGGCTAAAGAACATACACTTAAATATCTCCCCTTGAAAACAAGTCCATGGTAATTGTTTTTTTTTCTTGGTCTGTTAAAGTAACTGCTACACAACCAAAGTCGATATTTGAGGATACCACTAAAGGCATAAAAAACCCAAAAATCGTGGGTGTTAGCTACGCTCACATGTTCACATTTGGAATTAATGCACAATGTTTGCGCACGAGTTCAGGCCAGAAATAACAACTTGCAAATACCAATAGGTTTTGCTAAAAATAAAAACTTGGTATCAGCTTTACAGCAATCAGTCGTAGCGTAATGATCTACGCCGCACCCATATGGTCTCCAAGTTTAAGAAACACCAACTGGTTAAAACTGCAATTCAAACAAACTAATGCTTTAAGAAGTAGCTGGCTGTGGCGAATTACGAACATAGATCGTTTACAAGATGAAACTGAAGTTCTCCCTGTTCGAGCGCATAATGAATTGCTTGCTAAACCATTCTCCTGGGAAGCGATCTTCCGGAGCGTTCAGACCATATAATGTTAGAATCAAACAGCGGACGAATACTGACAGCTACTCTGAAAACAAAATATGAGCAAGTACTCCTGCCAACTGATTCAGTTCACACAATTAATCAATACAAAGAACTTCTCAAACATCTGGATACTAAAAACTGTGAGACACTTTACTGAGAGTCACCACTGAACTTTTGGGTATGACGAATCATCGAAGAAAAACTTTCACGCGAGGCTAGGTGCACACTTGCACAGCTCCGCCTCGGATACCCAATCTGAATAACTACCTAAAAAGGGTTGACCCAAAAGTTGGTAATATATGCACTCTCTGCTAGCTATCTAGGGCCGCATGACGCGCACCAATTATGCAACTTTCCGACAGATTTTGATATCCTCAGTTATTGTACTGACACCTTCGTGTAGCTGACACTTTCTGCTCACACAGTACGAAGGAGAGGGAGACCTCAACTCCCTTGAAAGAACTAATCAGCTTGACGGAGGATGCTGACCTCACATCAACACAAAATGCGAGCTCAATTCCGACGAGGCCAGTGTTAAAACCGCGTTCAAGTAACCCAGGCTAGTGCATGCCCTTACTATCCCGCTGGGACCAATAGCAATGTACTAGGGCGAGACTAAAACCTTTATCAGCCGAAACAAACAGAACCAATGCTGTCAACAGTCATGGAGGCTACTACAACAACAATCAAAAAGTTTCAGCCATTATCTGTCGATAAATTTTTTATGCATCAGCAGGGCTGCTCATTTCTGTTATTACCCGCTAAGCAATGAAAGCTTAAGACATGTCGAAATTTATCGTATTGATTTTGAACGCCATTCTTTGTTATTTTTTCAAGTTTTCTATCCGTTGTTTTTACTCAACTGAAGGACCATGTTCGTGTAAGCATTGAACTTCAAAGTAATTTATCCTCTAGTTGACAAAATGTAAGCATTCGCATAGGCGTTTTGAACTTTTTGGCCAAAATTTTTTGAAAATTGATGCCGAATGAGAAGAATGAGAATTTAGCACAAAAAAAATTAAACAAAAAGTGACAGAAAACCGTTAGCAGACTGCTGGAGGGAAACTGAAAAGCCCTCCAACAAATATTTCAATTCCAATGTTTTAAAAAAAGAAATGAAGTTACGGGGAGCGCGTTTCGTTTACTATAAATGATGAGTAGAACTTTGTAGAAGTTTCAAGTGTTGGACTAAAAATATTCAAATGAGGACTGCTCGGTTTATAATTGTAAAAGCATATTGGCTTGGTCTTAAATCACTGGTTGTTTTGGTACTTGTTTGCCTGTATTTGGCGTCTCAATTTACAAAATATCGACCAAGATCTTCTAAACGTCTCTAAAGGCATCAGTTGGGTAGAGCTTCTTGATAAAACACGTTCTAAATGAGTCTCACCGCCTATCAAAAATTCCAGAACATTTGTTTTAATTTCGAGAACAAAATTTCGAAAGTCTTGCTTTTAAGTTAATTTAGAGCGAAGAGCCACTCTTGGCTAGAAGTCAGTATAAAGTAACCTAAGTTGATGTTATTGAAAGCTATTTGTATGTTCTCAGTGCAGTTAATTTTGGATTTTCCCTCGACCTTGCTCTGAAAATTTACTAAAAAAACAGATAAAACCTTATATGATACAAAAATATCTTTTTGCTGATAAAAATGACAGTCGTCTGACCATTTTTGTGCGCCAGTTGCACATCAACCAGCTGTTCTTGATTTTGTTCGTGACCATATACAGCAGCTATGCAAAATAAGAGGGTTCGAACCTAGGCAGGAGGGTCGGATGTTTCTAATGAACTTTTTCTTATGCTAGTTATAACGCGTCCGCTCTAAAAATTGAAGCATGTTAGTTGGTAAATTTCTATTTCCAAATTGACTGGTACTGCTAATGCGTCATAATTGACCCTAAGCAATTATGTAGACTCATAATTGGCGTGCGTTACTTGAGAAGTTTTATAGACTCAAAGTTTTATTCATTCAGTTTTACCCAGTTGCGTTATCGGTCATATTTTTGCATGTGTATGCGAAGTGCAACTTCGCCTCTGTATAAAAAAAAATGTTCCCGAAGTAAGATTAAATTTTAAGAATCTCATGATTTTCTGGATCAAGTAATGCTAACGCAATTCTCTATAATACTACTGGCACTGCTTTTTGTGTTTAACCTTAAATAAATTGGAAAAGTTTTGCCCTGAAAGTGACTGGGAGAAATTATGGCTTAGGTTATTTTTCGACCTATTTTGACCACCTCAACGAAAGCTCGTAGGGCTCAAAAGTCGTATTGTTTTAAAGCCCTATTAGTCGTGATTATCATTGCAAAACCTCACGTTTACATTTTTTTAAAACTAAATTATGCAGAAACTAATGGGATACTAAATTACAGGCAAAATTTGTAGAGTTTTTTTGCAATTATTTAAGCAGCATTTATTTGAACATTATTTAAGCAGCATCTGAATTAGGGTATTCAGTGGTTGTTTTGAAATACTGTGCGATTTCAATTGTAGGTTGCAACCGGGTACCAGACTTTCCTAGGCAGAATAGTATTAGTTTTTTTAAATATCAGTCGAAATTTCTTTTTCATGTTGGGAGCGATTTAAGCAACTGGATTTAAAATTTCACTTTTTATTAGTTTTTAATTCTCTTAATTTTTCGGCTTAAGGGGTTTGTGCTCAATTTTTTTTCGGCTTTGTTACTGCTTGGTAGGTTTTCTTCCGATGCTTAAGGCACATAGATCTAGTTTTTTTTATCGACCTAAAGGGTTGCTTGTGTTGTATCGCAAATGATGCGAAGCTCCGCCCCGCCCCTGTGTTGCTACTTTTTTCATTTTTTTTTAGTATTTGAACTGTTGACTTCAATATTTGTGGTCGGAAATTTCAGAGCTACTCGAACAGCAGCCGAATAACCTAGTTGCAATTGTTTTTTGTTATGGTTTCAGTTTTACAATATTAACATTGAAAAGTTCCTTAGGCTTATCGTAAATAAGCTATCCTGTAAGGTGAATCTAAATGTCGGCAGTTCAATAAATAGAGTGTGAATAAACCAGCCGAAAGACCGTATAGTATATAAATCAGCTGAAAGTTAAGGCATAGACGAAGTGAACCAGCCAGAAGTTAGATCATTTGAATGAAACCTGCATGAGTTCTGTAATTTTTAGATACCTATTATTCAACAGTTTAAGAATTTTTGGTTTACATGATTACTGATTTTTAGCTGACTATGCACCATCAAAGACAAAACTGGACAAGCCAAGGTACTTTTCTGAACTTTTTAGGGTCACTAATACAGCAATTGTTATCGGAGAACATTATCTGCATCTTGGACTGATTGTTCCGACCACTTAACCGTTTTGTTTCGACCACGGGTGGAATTTTGTGACCTTGAGGAGTTCAGGTACCTTTAGTTAAAGTCCGAGGTGACTGAGTAACAAGCCATATAAATCCCTCGCAGTCGCGATTCAATATGCAACGTAAAGTTTCTAAAAATTTCCCAATTCAAGAAAAATGGATGTGATTGCATCCTTATCTTGAGAGTGATTCTTACGTTGTGAAGATGGGTTTCAAGTAAATGTTGATTCTGTAGTGAGTTCTGTCTAGACATTGACCTGTCAGACGTCTGAAAGTTGTCCGATGAGCGCAGTTCAGGAATTATAAGTCAAGGTCATCTGAAGTCTGCAAATCTGTGTATAGTTAGTAGCAAAAAATTGGAACAGACAAGCAATTAGAAAGAGCTATCTGTCAATTTTTAGCTATTTTTGCAAGCAAATTTGAGTTTTTAGGTGACCTTGAGTCATATTTTTTGTCTGAAAAATAAGGTTTTACATGCAAAAGTTTTTTGAAATCAGTTATTTCCTCTTTTTTAAGTAATTCTGACTGTTTCAACTTTTTACTACTCTCTATAGTGTCTGGCGATATCCAGAGTGTTCTACTGAAATTGGAACCTCTGCTTATTTTAACAAAAATGTCCATTGAGTAGATTTAGTTCGATTATTTTATACCAATAGCTCGAACTGATTGACAGAAATCAATCAAATCGGAGTCAGTTGTCCTGTCTTACCTGGTGTGATATGTTTCAAACTTAGATATTGTCAAAGTGTTCCTTGGGATGTCCTTGTTGAGATCTCTTCAAATTACCTCAAAATGTATTTTTGTTAGAATTGATAAGATAGAATTGTAAGCATTATTATCTTTTAGCTAAAATCCACTGAATTATACGCTATTTTGCTTGTAGTTGAATAAATAACTTCAATCTTATTGGTCGATAATTTTCTTTATTTTGTTCGTCACGAAATGCGCTGGTCTGACAGAAGATATAAAATCTATCGTTTCTGTTAATTTTCACAAATATCGCTAAATTTTCAAATTATTTTGGATCTGATAGAGTAAAGATTATGATCTGGTTAAAATTTGTTGCCGTCTTTGGATTCTAAACTGATCGAAGTTAATAAATTTGAAGTTCCTTGGAATAAAATTCTGTTTTAACTTAGCAGCGGTTGATTCCCTTATTTACTTACTTCTAATAAAACGCCGCTAATTCCTTCACCTCTTTCCTTTTATTTGGTCTCTTCTCTTTTGGGTTTCTTAACTGGAGATTTCCTAAATTAAATCAGTTCTGCCAGTAGAATGAGGTGTGATCTGTTTTTTCAAAGGTCAATTGACTTTCTTGGTGCTAGCAGGGTCGTCCTTTTCGTGACCATAGTTGCTGCTTATTGCTCTACTCTTGCAAGAACTGAAGATGGTAAGTTGAATTTCTACCTGCCTCCTCCAAAACTATCAATTTTCTAGTAGGCTTGATTTCTTGTAACTTCTACTCCATAATTCAAGCGAGGATTCCTTTTTTCTCGTTAATTTTAGGAAAAGCCTTTATATGAAATTAGAATAATTATTACGCATTTTTTCTTTCTAGGACATGGGTCATAGCCCTTTGACGAATTAAACCGGCTAAAAACTAGATATTTTCTTTAGAGCTCGAGTAAGCAAAAACGTATAATTAGTAGCAAAAAGTTCGGACAGACAGAATTAATTAAAATGAGCAATCAGTGCTTTTCGACGCTTTTTTGCATGCAAAATCTGAAGCCGGACAACCTTGAACTTTTTGTCAGACCAAATTCGAAAAGCAAGATCGTCGATTATCCGATGATTATGCTAGCCTAATTTTTAAATACTGCGATCAACATCCAGATTTACTATAAAATAGGTAGCGAAATTAGTTTAAAAATCGAAATCTAGAGTTATTTTGAACTAAAAAAACAGATTAGGCCGTTCCAAAAATAACGGAAATAAGAAGATGATCAAATCATTCAAAATTTAGAAAAACTTTAGCGACTTTTGCAATAATCTTCCTGTTTCAAGGTTTACTATTCGCCGCTTCTGAAACAGTTGCCCGCCGTGGTTATAAGTTTTGAGTGATACTCTGCTTTATAAACTTTCGACGTTATGTTTATTTCAGTTTTTATTTCCGCTGATGTCTAGGCAGTTGCTCTTTTTAATTAATTTTGTCTGTCCGAACTTTTTGCAACTCTCTATATGTGATTTATGTGATTGATTTGAAAAAAATAAACGTTTTTCAAAGTTAGATGAGGTTTGACAACCCGAAATTGTAACCTTTTCGATGATTATACTTTTGCTTGTTTAAAAATGCCTTGCCTTTTTCTCGCTCTAGGCAATTTTTTTTTTACGACTACTGAATCTGAATAAACGTGATAAATCTTTGTTTTTTTGTTTGCTCGTTAATTTTTGAGAGGCCTAAATTAGTGTGCTCGGTACAAAACATTGTTTGATAGCTACTCGAGAATGTGTTGTTTTTATACATACTCCAGAATTGTTTAAGACACCGATAGCTTTTTCAAAAAGGTACTCTACCTTTAATAGAGAGCTTGTAGAGGAGACTATTCGGTGTAAATACTTTTATCCTCGAAAATAAAAAGCTAGCTTGCAAACCACTCATTGAGCTGCATGATGCGTACCTCTGTATACACGACCTGAGTCTGAATGCCATTTTGGGTTAATGTTTTGTGGTCTGACATTTTCCCCGTCCAAGTTGTGAGTTCAGATCATTGAGTACCTTCGTTTAACTTGATTCATACTTAAAACAAGGATAGCTCGTTGCTGTTCAAGTAGCTTAATGTTCCGACCTAATTGATTTGAAAACAGAATTTCAAAAATAGAAAAAATAGCATACAAAACTGAAAATTATTTTTGCAATTTTCGTCCAGATTTTGTTATTTATTCTAGAAAATTTTATGAGTTGGAGTTGGTTGGAAAAAGCAAAAGCAATTACTATCGCTGAAAACTTAAAGAACAACTTTGTCTATTTTAGTCTGAAAATCGAACATATTCATACCAGTTTTTCTCTACACGAAAGATTTTTTTTATTTTAAAATAATTTGAAGCACGGCCAATAAGGCTTTAATATGACTCCACAATTGACACCCTACGAGCTTTCCTTGAGGTTGAGGTAACCATAATTGGCTGGAAAAAAAACCGACCTTAATCCACAGTTCCTTGCAACTCTTTGAGTGGTCTGAACAAAAAATGTGTGCTAGAAGTTGCAAAATATTCTCTTTTAATCTTTGAGTAGTCTGAAGAAGAAATGTGTGCTAGAATTTGCAAAATGTTCTATTTTAAAAGGCACATAACACGAACTAGTATGTAGTCCCTTATCATCATTTTCATGATGATTGGGTTTGTTAAACCTGGCCGATTTTCTTTGAGAGAAAGGAGTAAAATAGACGGTGTTCAGCTCTCCACTATGCCCAAAACAGCATTTCTACTACATCATCTTTTTATGATTTTTTTCTAGGTTAAGAAATGAAAACAACCACATTTTGTATTTTTTTTCCATGTATTTTTTAAAATTTTATTAAGAAACCTCAAAACAAAACTTCATTTCTTATGCAACTCGGCATAATGGGAAATTCTATTGCTGGAAATATGCACACTTAACCTAATTCTCTAAACCTAGTTTCAACTAAGCAGTCCCTTGCGATCATCGAAGTTTATTATCAGCATCAAAAAGGCATTTGCTATATTGATGCTGAAATGTAAAAATTTAGCTACTCTTCGATCATATGTGGGAAAACGAAGCAAAAAATAAACGTCACGTGTAACTATAGAGTTCCTGAAAGTGTTCGTTAGCATCCATTAGTGTCTATTGTTTCCATTAAAGTGATTGTTTTATGACACTCAAATTTGCAAAATTATAGTTGAGCTAATTGTTTTTTTTTTTTTCATTTTTGCTGTTTGAAAATTTGCCGACGTAATATTTACGCTGTGAAATTCTCATAAAGTCAAGGTGTACTTGATAAATTTAAAATGCACGCCTTGAGTAGCATCAAAAGAAAATTGCAATCTTCAGTTTGTTTTATGGAAATTCAAGATGAAGGAAGCGACTTAATTTCAATTGCCGAAAAAGCGTCAAGATTTTGTTCATTTTCCCGAAAAGTGAGCAAAAAGTCCTCAAAAAAACGGCATCAATTGTAATTGCGCTAATTTAACTTTTAACAACGGTGGTAAAATTTAAACGTCAAAAAACGTTTGCTCAGATTTATAGTTTCCTTTACATTTTGATCATGCACATGTATACTAATTTAGTGGTGTTTTAAAAAAATTTTAGCAATTTTTTAAAGCTAAAAAGACAGCCATAAAATGACTTTCTTGAGAAAATTAATCAAATTTGATCAAAGCTGTTTTTCACAGTGTGAAACTAATGGCTCTTTTTGCGAGTTAAGAGTACTAAACCACAAGTAAGCAGTAGTACTAAACACCTCTCAGATAAATTACTTATTGAAAAGTTCAAACGCAGTGGCGCTTCGAGTATCTTTTGACGAATTTAATCATTAGCCAAAGAAAACAAGCTTTTTATTGCTGGCTAGAAGTAATCATAGATAGATAAGTATCAACTTGAGATATTAAAAATGCTCTTTTCTTGTAGTTTTGGACATTTTTTGATTGACTTCGACTTGTTTTGAACATAAGATACAAACAAAAGCTGGTCTCTGCTAATGATATGATCAGCAAGAAAAATAATATTCAAATTAAGCAAAAAAAGTTGCAGAAGATATTTCAAATCTGTCAAAGCAGTCTGCCATTTTTGACGTCTCATTGTTTTCTTGTGTTGCCACTTGGACATACTCAACTATAATCTTGCAACTTAAAGAACAGAACATCTTAAGATTTTAAATCTTGATGTACGATTTCAAATCCTTATCGCATTAGACTTCTAGTTAAGACTGTTCTGTCGAGTCTTGTAAAGTTGAAACATAAAATGGCGCCACTTTTTTTCAAAAGTGTCTGAAACGCGATTATGAACAAAGGATTTTTTCACGCAATTAGGTTTGATAGCTGCTCTTTTGAGAAGGTCTGATTTTTATTGCACCAACCCCCGACTTCAGGTGAAAAGTGTGAAATGATATCTGATGATTAGCTTGTTAAACGCTCAGTTTCATAGCACTCGATAAGTGTTGTAAAAGCAATACCGTGCAATGTACTAGTTACGGTTCAAAGTGTCTTTGGCGTGAAGTGTTAGACTGATCGTCGCTTATGATTAAACGCTCTGAAGATTGGACTTTTTAACAGCAGAGCTCTACGTGTTCTGGTGTAAAATGTTGTTACTGAAAAGAAGAATGTTTGACCTAAAAGACTGAGGCGTAAACTAGCTAACAAATATTATTTTTGTGAAAACAATTTAAGCAGTTTTGAGTTCCCAAAAATGTTCACTTGATGGTTCTTTTCAGAAATTTTTCTTGACACCGCCAAACAGACGGAAGAAAACTGGGGATTCAAACCATATGCATCAGTCGGACAGACAAGAGAAGGGGTGAGTATTTTTGAGCAACTTAAGAATGTCGAAAGTTCCGAACTTTCAGAGCGAAATTTAGCCGAAATTATTCGAAGGCCATCTATCCATGTTTCACTCGTCTGTGTGTTAGGATTAGTGTCTAGGTTCTAGCTCCGTTTAAGCTAGCATTAAGCCTAGACTTCTGAGATGTTGAAGCTAGGTTTTTCATTTTGTTGATTTAAAAGTAAGAGGGGGCGGTGTTGAGAAATATTTAGAGTAGGTGCAGAGTTAGCAAACATGACCTAAGGTGTATGTTTAGTGTAACCTTGTTTCTTATGATGTACGGTACACTAATAAATCAATTGTAGAAGACAAGTTTTCATCTCTAGATTAAAAGACTTCACGGGTATTTATTTATGACTTCTGAGTCTTCAACTGATTTCTGCTAGAGTGGTGCCTGAATTCGAATACATCTGTAGTGTGATGTTGACTTGATTGAGTTGAGCTTACGATCAATCAATCTCCTCGTATCTTGCCAACCACTTTAGCTAAGATTGGCTTGCTCAATCCAACTTAGCTGACCATAAGAAATGTATCACTATAGAACAAACAGATAAGAGGCTGCAAAATGCAGTTTGCTAATCGAGACCCCCAACCCACAAGACATCGGATCTGACACATATAAATTGAATGTAGAGAGTTCTGTTTCTTTGCATACCCGAATATGAAGTATGATGGGCGAATGGTTTGGCATTGCACTTGTGAGATTGCAGAACTTGGGCGACCAAACATCAACTTCTGAAATAATATTTATGAATTAAGTAAATCGCCTAATATTTGACAAGTTTCGAGGTTTCCAAATTTAAGCGCATCTAAAATAACCTCGCTAGGTTTTGTGTTGTAGTGTAAATTGAGTTTAAAAATGGTACTTAAAATTGATTCTCTGCTAAACTGATAAAATAAAGATAACGATAGCGACAATGAAAAAAAAACATAAAAATAATTGGCTTGCACACTAAACATGTTGATTATTGTTGTTGTTTGTTTCAGTGGACCTACCAGAAGTACACGAAACCTAATGCGGCCTCATTCACTGGTGGCTACTACCAAGTGTGTGACACTGAAGTTCAGAAGGCAGACAATTGGCTCTTCTCAAACTACATCTCGCTTCACAACAGTCTGGATGTGCAGCAGAATCACTACGGAGAGCAGCGGCAGAGAACTGACTTCTCACTGCCCTCCAAGATCAAACTCAAAATCACGTAAGCTCATATCTGAATCACACTTTCCTAAATCGATCGCAAAATTTCTAAATCGATCGTACCAAGTTTTGCATTAGAAGAGGCTCCTCTGAAAATGTTATAATCAAAGTGTTGTATTATTCGTATCGTAATTGTAGTATTTTTTGTTTTTCATTTTATAATTTCAATTATCTTAAAATATTTCTGTGGGAGTTTATTTGATGAACTCAAATGGAAATGTCAATATGATGGTTTCATAGCATTGACTTCCAATTTTTTCGTACATACTAATTTAGAGAAGTTTAACTCATTTGATTTTCAGGTTTTTCCAACGGGAGTGCAAAGGAGTTTCTAAGCACTCGGAAGACTGCATAAACCAGCTGGGAGTCACGTATTGGAAGACTGACCGACCAGACACTGGAATGGAGGCCTCTGAAATAGCCAAATTCAGGCAAAGTTTCCGTCCACTTTCAACCTTGGAGAGCTACAGCAGCTTCCTTAACTCGTCGGTTCCTGATCAAGTGGAAAATATTAACGCCAGATTCATTACGATAACTTTTGACTCTGGAAGCGACCGGAACGTGAAAGGAATCTACCTGGCCTTCAAAGGATTCCAGTCCTGTTCGTTCTTGAAGGAAGTCAAAGTTTGGGCCAGTTATTGTCCGGATAAGAAAATCCACCTGGCACAGTACCCTAGAACCTGGATCAGAGAGAACCCTGATTTGGTGCCAGGTCACTGTGTGAGTGGGGCGAAGTCGGAACATACGAGCAGGGCCCACTGTCTGACGGAAGGAAAGTGGGAGAACGGAGGTGCCATGATGCAATTCTGCAAGTGCACAGAGGGATTTGAGCCCAATGGAAATCTAACCGAGTGCACGCGTAAGTGTTATCTTGGAATTTCTGATTTTCTACGATAACGCGAATCTTAATCTGCAGTCATTGATTAACAGTAGTTTTTTCCCGTAATTTAAGCGATTGGATTTCACGGTCCTTACGGTAATTTTTTTGCCAAATTTTTACTTTGTTATGAATAGATTGTGGTCTGAAATCGATGAGTATCGCTGTTTAAATCGATGCTTTGATCGTAATAGTCTCGGCTGTTGAGGATGTCTATCTTAAATGGAAGCCTCATTTGATATTCCTAAGATGTTTGCCAAGTGTTATCTTTAATACGTCGAGTGACTGATTACAACCAGAGGCTGCTTGTTGGCCCTAAGCGGACGTATTTAACTATGCCGATAATATCCAAGAGAGCCCTTTGAGCGAATTAAGTGAACTGCAAATTATAATGGAGTCCTGCTGAGATTAGGATCTGCCAAACTACCAAGGGATGGGCTGAATGTAAAGGGGGAGAATTAAGACAAAAGAGGTGGCTTCAGAGTTATCACACTTGGCTAAGATAGGCGGTAGGGCTCAGCATTGCTAAAACAGGATCGACAATTGAGACGCAAGTCGCTATGAAATGAATTAAAATGGCTGAATAGAAAAGGAACTATCTTTTTTTTCGGATGGCAGAGAGGCAATTGATTGCTTTGTTTGCCTTTCAATCAACTGTAGACGCGAATGAATGCAACCCAGACCATAATCTGACCGACCTTAGATTTTTGTATAAATAAGTATCGTAATTTTTTTTCAGTAATTGAATGATATCTATTGAATTTGCTAGATCATTTTGACCATTCTCTATATTAGAAAGAATTTCATATTCATTTGAATTGCATGAGTTTTTCTAGCATACACCATGACAATAACTCAAAAATAAATTGCTAATGTTTTTTGTTTATACGAAGTTTTTCCAAAAATATTTGGTATGTAGGGTCTAAAGCCGCATGTTTACGCAAGAAGCAATTGTAAACATTGTAAACAGGTGTTATCAACAACCGAAACATTACAGCTTGCCTGTTTACTTGCAACAATTATACCTGAATGACCCAAATGTTTAATTGATTAACCGCGTTTGATAGTGCTTTACCTGTCTTGTAAGAGCCTTTAAAACTTTGTAGTTTTATATTTCGAAAATTGTTTTTGGTAAATTCAACTTAATTTAATCTCGTGTACAGAAGCGTGATAGCGGGGGGGGCTTTAAATACTAAGTATTATCGTTAAATGTCTCATTGACGGTCCTAGATGAAATTGCCGCTTGTAAGTTTATTTTATCGGGCTTGTTTGTCCGGCTGAACACGACAGGGTAAATATGTTTTGTAAGAACTGATCAAATAGTAAACTAATTTGTCCCCACGTTGTTTACCCGCGTTGGTTAATCAACCGTTCAAAAATCAAAAGACAATTTCGAAATAAACGCAAATGACCGAGATTTTTGGTCTAGAAAATTGAATCAATGCAAAAAACTTCATAGATCATAGGAGTTGCATAGACCAACTTGTATTACACTTCTGAAGAGTCTGAAGCGCCGCGGATGTTTAAAAGTGTTTACCTAATGGCTTGTTTTTACTTTATTCTATCAGTAGACGAACGATGTATTGAATGGTCTAGTCAAATTCAATAAAGCTGATCTTTTTGTCTTAGACCGTTTAAGATTATAGTTACATAGAGCAGTCTAGTGGATTGATTTGGTTAAGTGAATAGCAAAATAGTATGAGCATTGTCAGTATTGACGATGGTAAATCATTTATGTCCAAACTCGGAAGAAACTGCAATTCTTAAGCGAAAGTCATCGATTATAATTTATTTGTTTTAGTATCTGAGGTCTTGAAAGCGATATTAAGTAAACTTCAGTAACCGGTCTTGTTGTCAAAATAGGACAATTTTGGATATGGAAATGGTAAAATTGGGTCTGCCCATTAGTATAAATATGCCAATAATTTGCAATCAATCTCGCACGCTTGTGCTTTATGATTTGGAACTATCAGGGGCTATTGTTTTTGTGGTTATGAAATTTGGGGCGGAATCGTTATCTGAATAAGCAATCATTCTAAAAATCCCACGTTGACATATAAAACACTCAATATCGATTATAAAATACGCTGAAAATTCTTTAGGATGTCTGAAGAGATCGTGTCCTTTTTTTTAGAAAATCAAATCGGACGATGAGAATTTTTGAAGTTTTTGTCGAGTGGTTCAAAAAATCCGAGATCAGCCTTTCTGATGAAATTTTAAGTGATATGTTTTGATTCTAGTCCAATTAATCTAAATATTTAATGGCCTTTGAGCAAAGACTTATTACTTTGTTCAAGTGTTAGAATCAAAACCTATAGTTTTTTTCACAAACGGTTTTTGGACGGTTGAAGTAAATACTTTTAATGACAATGCATTAAATGCTGACTTGACTTAATTCTCACAATATTGGATATTGATGTATTTATATAATGCTGGTATGGGCCCTATCCAGCTTGTGCACGACCGTTCCTAAACGGAAGGGCCCCTTAAATAATTTACTTTTTTTTCGCAAATATTAATTCAGTTAACTGCCATGATTTTAAAATAAACTTCATTAAAGTTCTACCATATAACGAATTTAAAATAAGTCTGTTTAATTTATGTGGTTTGTGTTGTTTCAGCGTGTCCAATCAGGATGTTCAAAGACAATGTGGGAAACAGTAAGTGCAAAGGGTGTCCCTTCAACAGCAGGACCAGATCCACAGGCAGCACACAGTGCAGTTGCGACATGGGCTTCCACAGGGCACCCAACGACTCCAACCTCGCCCCCTGTGAAAAATACCCCCCTGCTGTAGAGTAAGTTAGATACACACTAATTAATTATAGTAATTAATTATTACACATATGAATAGTTATAATTTTGTCGTTTTTTTTGTGTCTTTTTCATATCTAAACGCGAATCGGTTAGGCAGTAGTCAGTAGAAAAAAATAAGTCAGTTTTATTGGGTTTACGCGAATAGGTTAGCTGCTGTTGTCTCTTAATCAAAAGGTTACAGGTTCGAGTCTCAAGAGGATCCCGACATGCATTTTGTTTTTATTTCGAAAGTAGTGTCACAATTTATCCTGAAATACGGTCGAAAATATAGCACATGTCTGAAAGGATATAGAAAAGAAAAAAGACAAAAAAGTGGTTTCGATGGTAGCAATAGTTGTTCAACATTAAAGTCAGTTGAAAACAACATGTATGCAAGCATAGAGCGGTGAAATAATAGCTTCAAAAATCAATCAACTTGGGCTCAGGGAAATGGTCGATTGTATCAATCATGAGTTTATGTTTTGCTGAATTAAAAATGGGAAAATTATGATGAATACAAAAGGGAGTTGTGGATATTTTCTAGAGCCCAAATTGAACCTAAGTCCCAATTCATCGTCAGAAATAACAGTTGTTTTTATCTCCATCTTGAAGTATTGGATACGTCCGCCCGCACGCTCCGATATCGATTACTTGTGTAGATCTATAATACATGCAGTTCCTAAACTTATCGGCAGGGTAACTTGAAATTAGAGCACATCTAAATCAATAAATTCATTACATCAAACAGAGGCCCAGAAAGGGAACGGCGGCGACAAAGGATAACGAATGTAAAATGTACTTAGTTAATTCAACTAGTCTTCTTTCTAGTTGATCCATTATTTATCCAACTCTCAATGTGATAAACTGGGAAAGGGAAAAGAATAAATGAAAAGAGGGAACTTCCTTTATTTCATGTAGTCCATTGGGTCAATTATAACCGATTTTTAATAAGTTTTATGGTTAAATTTTCTTCTGAGAAGACTAAATGTAATAAAAGTTACCAGCGAGGTAGCGATTCAACGAACTAGTTATGAAGTTTGTTGCCTTGAACTGTTGTTGGTTGAATAACTTATAATAACTGTTCAAAATTTTTTAGATGAAAGATTGAGTTCGTTCAAATTTTCAGGTCTGTGACCCCGATGGTGCAAAACACTGAAGTTCGCTTGACATGGGGCAGACCGTACCTGCCTACGAAATACACGCGCAATGACATCTGGTACATTGTCAGATGCGAAATGTGTGCAAGCGGGGGACGAGCCCGCGAATTGGACGCAGACGGCTACTCGGCTCCCATTCGCCTCTCGGATTTACCTTTCCGAGTTCGCGGACTGAGAGCGGAGACAGAATACTACTTCGAAGTGCTCACTGTGAATTCGTTGGTTGTGAAGTTAGCGACTGCGAACAGAAGATACATCACTGTTAAGACCGAGAATGAAGGTTCGAACCTTGGCCGTAGGCTCAAGTATTTGTTTCATTCCTGAATGGTTGCATAATTGGTCTTAGCATAGCCATACACAAAATAACACAACAAAAAAATACATGGTATGTTTCAAACTTCACAGTAGGGAAATTTTATTATAAGCTTGTGGGTATTTACCGGCGGAATTATGTAGCATATGTATGTTAAAGATTTAAAGTGACCTGCCTGAAGTTAAACATTGAACCTAAAGTAGCTATAAGATGTAAAGTTGAAACTCAAGTTTAGAATCTGAAGAAGTTTCAAATGCCAATTACAACAAAAATGCAACTAACAACGTCTCTTTTTTATCAAGTTGATCAAATCTAAATTGTTTGACACTTTCTTCATAGCGAATTAAACCGATAAGAGAAAATAACCAAATAATTAATAAAATCAGCATTCCTTATTTGAGTTTATTGCTAATTGACATCACGGGCAAAGTTGTGCTGGAATCCTCCAACAAAAGCTCCCATATTCTGAATCGCGCCTCGGGTCCATCAAGGCGGGGGGAGGACAAGGCGGAAATATTGAGTATGGATTGGTGAATTTAGGGCAATAAATGAACCTACTTGACATTTTTCATCCTGACCTTAAGGGTTTCTACGTCTTTAAGCCGGATCAGAATTTCACAAAAAGGGAATTTAAGAGTCATCTTTGAAGAGATGATGTTATGTACTTCCAACGTCAAAATTTGCTGTTATTTAATTAAATTTGTCTATTTTACGTAAGTCACATTTAGGTTGTATTTTTGCCGACCCGACAGCTAGTAAAATGTTCATGCAATAAACTTAGAGCAAACTCGTCGTAATTTTTGCTAAATTGGTAAAAGAAGCCGTTTCTCAAATTTCAGTTAGTGTATAAAAACATGCGTTGCTTAAATATAGATTGAACTGATCTTTTAATCAGTGTTTTCTTCAGAAATTTGATTGTTAATTTGATGTAAATTTGAACGTGGTTTTGTGCCCATTTTCGCTGATTACTGTAAAAATGTACCGCGAAATTAAATTATAATTTATTACTAAATTTTTAGGAAGGCAACCCTGATAATGTTGATTGTGGGATTGGATGATAAGCGAAAGCGAAGCGGTCTATAAGTTTATTTCCGTTGTCGGAATTAGGATGACTTAAAATGTGTCTCCCCTGCATGTAATTTATTTTCTGGGTCTCCCCGGGCTAGAATTGGGCTAGACTTAAGAAGCAAAATTGGAATCTAATGCGATCAATGTGGAGCACAATTGATGGAAATAAAATTGGTGATGTGAAGTTTGGAAAATACAATATCAATCCTAGAAAAATCTAGATTTCTTATAAAAGCACTGGATTATCGAGGTCTTTGGAAATTCTAGCACTCTCATTTTTCAATGTTTGCACGGAGGGCTTCTAAACACGTTTGCAGGAAACGAGGAAATTATAGAAATTTTGTAGTTTTATCACGTTTTTTTTTGACGTCGAAAATTTACAGAAATATTTTGTGTGACTTGTGTGTATAACTGAATTGATTTAATTTCAGTTTTTAATGAGAAGGGGTAATTTTGTAAGCACTATTTTTGGAAAAAAATTCAATTTGATTTGTATGAAATGACGTGTGGTTGAAAATAGAATCTGTTTAACTAAGCAAATTTCCGTGTTGTGTTGCAGCCAAAATAGCCAACATCACCCTACTACATCCTACAGACGGGGGAGGTATCCTGGTCACGTGGAAGATGGTGGGATCATCATCATCAGAAGTAGGCAGACACAAGTTCCAGATATCCCTCACGGGTCCAGAGGGAGAGGAGAACAAAATTTACACAGACAAGACCAGTTATAGAGTACAAGGTAATTCAGCAATTCGAACTGATTTTACACCCAATACACAAGATATTTTTATTTGCTTCAAAAAATGAGGTTAAAAAAATCAGTATGATGTTACTGAAGGGACAAAGGTTGAGGATTGAATGATGGGATTTCAAATTTTGTCAGATGATAGTTTTTGGACTATGTCGCCTTTTGCATCTAAGCAACAGTCCATTTCATGTTTTCAACCAGTTTTTTCCGATTCATCACTTTCATGATGATTGTTAGCTTGGGTGAATCTGATGTCTTGACAAATGAGTTAGCTAAAAAGATTTAATTTGTGGGAACTTTCATTGACATTGAACTTAATTCCCACTTATTCGTTATGGTTTCACTTAAAAGTGCCCGATCATTGAAAGTAGCCTCAAAGAACTTTGCATCTCAGGTGTTGTTTGTTTGATTGTTTTTCCTACTGATTTCAAAATCCCTCACAACACCAGGGATCTTTATCTATTTGTTTGAAGGGAACATTAGCGCTGTCATCCCTAAATGAATATAGGGCTAGCGAGGTACTTTGGGGCAAGGAGTGCTGTTGACATTTGGCCTGTGAAGTTGCATAATTAGGGTCGCTTAGTTATAGGATAGTGTAGTGCACATCAGCTTAAGTGGTCTAAGATTCAAATTCGATTGCTCGTATTTAATATTTGAAAGAAAACAGGAACTTAACAGGAACTTAATACTTATATTATGCACTAAGCAGTAGCGTTATTGGGTGGGGGTAGATGGACCCCTTCCCCTCAGGGACTCGAACCCCTGACCATTCCTTTGGTATTATTTAAACTAACCGACCCTTATGGGTTCTGAATAACTATGATATATCGAGATATTTGAACTAAAAATTTCAAAAATTCGATGGTCTTAAACTAAAAAAAATTTTGCAGGGCTCTCTCATGGAGATTGGAAGATGATGATTTGCACGCAGTCTGAGTTCGAGATCTGCAGTGAAACGGTACAAGTGGATTTCAAAGAAGGTAAATCATTATTATTAACAACACCCAAATTTCACTCGGAGACCAAGATTTCAAACCAGGATTTTCATCTAGAAATGGTCAAACGTTTTTGCCCGCTTTTTGGGAGTTTTAACTTTTTCTCATGCTTTGAGCCATGATTTTCAGCTTTCCGTTTTTTTCTACAATATCCCACTGTACAAACCCAGACATTCTTTTCCATTTATAGTAATATCGCCACTGTACAAACCCAGACATTCTACTCCATTTATAGTTTTTCGTCTTGAAATGATAGTTAATTAAATATGTGAATCGGGTTGAGTTATTTTGTTAGCAAGTTGTCAGATCTTGTGTAATAAAATTGCCATTTTTAATGTTACCGCTCCTGCTATAAACTGGTGAATTCTTTAACTTAGATCTATCGAAAACTTCCTCGAGGTGTTTTATGGAGAGAAGTCAGAATGATTTGTGATCGCATTTGCTTTTGTTTACTTGAAAAAACCGCTATTGATTATTTTTCTACCTGTGGCATAAGTTTTTGAGTTGAGTTGTGATTAAAAGCAGCAAAATTTATTGACAAAATTTTAATTTTTGAGCTTAAAGTTATAAACTATAATTTACATGACTGTGGTTCGAAAGGTTCTTGGGACGTGAAATTTTATTCGCATTTAGCTGTGTTTTATTTTCATGTAAGCGTGAAATTTGATTTGAGTAATTGCATAAAGGGTAAGAAGGGATTGTAGTGGGTATGAGGCAGGGCGGATTAATTAAGACGCAACCCGTGGTGTAAACTACTGAGGCTTTTGACATCTGGGCTAAGTTTAAGTCCAGATGGAAGCGAAAGTGGCAATAGACCAGAGTATGGGTACTATTAATGCTTTATAAGTGATTGTTTCACTGGTGTGGCGCTTTTATCTTAAGTACAAACGAGTATTTGTCAATTAATATTTTATCTCTGCTAAATTCAATTTAAACCCTCGAGAAGTTTAGAGTTGAGAATAAATGCAAAGCCACCCCGAGGCTGAGGCTAGAGAAATTCGCCCAAACGTAAACTAATTCTTGCTACTGTACCATGAAGTTAAAGAAATTGTTGAGCTCCAATACAAGAAGTATGTAGCTTCTAAGTTGCATTAATGATTTCTGTGGCTATTTTCATTGTGAAATGGGAACTATTCAATATTTCCAAATGTGGGCGCCAAATTGTGTCCTGAGCCCTAAATAATTTCGCACCTTTTCTTTGGCTTTTGCTGGCTATCAAATGTTATATCTAGAGAGCGTAAATGCCGCTATTGCTTTTGATAGAGCTCTCTGCTAAGATCCAGATTTCCGGTCCTAGTCTCAGATTTGGCGCGGGCTCTAGTAGTGTGTTATGCTTGGAATGATTTAGAAGTTGTTTACATTTTCGAAAGGGGTACAAATAAACTAGCAACGCAAAATGCCCCCGATTGCGCACTTTTTGTAAACAACCGAGTGGCAAGGATCATGAAAATCGCCAACATGCATGCAACATGAGAAGCAAAAACACCTCGAGGCTAAAAAATTTTAACCCCTTCAAGTGTCAAAATGAAAACTTGTTATTTGAATTTCATAGCCTGAAGTTTATGCAAACGTTAAGAAAACTATCCGAGTTTGTGAAGTCAGGTGATTCTAGTAGAGATAACCGCCAGAAGGGCGATTGAGGTGGAAACATCAACACAAGTTGAACAATGTTATCAAAACTGTGTCGAGACGAAATGAAGTGCAAGCCCGGTCAGCCCGGCTAGCATCAAAACAAGACAAATAGTGTTGGTTCTAAACGGCATGGGTGGCTTAAAACAAACGCACTCGCGATATGAAGTAGAGATTTAGTTCTGATTTTTATAACACGATACAAATGCTGTTATGTTAAATGGCGGTCAGTTCAGAATAAATCTCATAACTGATTGAATTCAAGTTTCGAGAAATTATGATAATGTTTTACAATATGAAATGATAGCGTCATTTTTTTAAAGTATTACCAAGATCTTTGTCTTACAAGAACCAAGTTCAAGTTGCAAGCGCTACGGTCATAGTACGTACATATCAAAATATCTTAGATACCTTGGAACGGATCTGTACAAGGTATTTTAAGTCTTAAGTGCACTAGCATCCAAAAATATCAAAACTAAACGTCAATGATGGACAATATTGGTGCTTCAGGCTTGCAGTTCCAAGTGATGAGTGCAGGAAACCTGGCAATCGCAGCTGGACTTCTGATAACTGTGATCCTAGTGATGCTGCTGGTTCTGGTCACTGCAGTCTGTTGCTACAGGCGGAACGTCGCCTACAAGTGGGGAGCCAATACTGGCTACACTTCGGGAACCCTGGCGGGACTCCAAGGAGCACCTGGACACTACAACATGATGGACGTCTCCGGGCCCCTGGACCAAGGAGGCATGAAGTACTTCTGCGGAGGATTCAACGGGTACGCCCAACAGGCGTTTGTGGACCCCACTTACTATGATGATATTGACAAGTTGTTCTTGGAATTCACGCGGGAGATCCATGTGAACCAACTGCAGAGCATAGAAGGACATTTCGGAATGTCAACCAATGAACTTGGTGAGTTGAATCATTGATTTTTCATTCTATCAGTAGACACGATCCTTATGTCTTCAAGGCGAATTATTTGTAGCCCTTGAAACGTTTCGCCCTTTATTGCAATTAATCATTTTCATAGTGGGTAGACCGAAAGACTGAATGATGATTGAACATACAACTGAAATGAAATTAACTGTCTGCGCCACTTGAAGTTTGGATTCAAGATGTCTGAAATGCGGCCGGCGCCTTCATAGAAGGCAGTTAAAAAGCCTTATGTGCGGTTAAACGCTCAAGCAAAATTACTCTCACAAGAACTCAGGTGTCAATATTTTTAGATGAACGTCATTTTTTATGGCGCTGACAAGAGCTTTTTTCACTTTGGAGGCGACAAAAATTTTCTTTTGGGTTACTTTTTTCAAACTGCGATCTCAGATGTGGAAATTACTTTGGAAAAAAAAGTTACATAGCGGCTCACAAAAAGTAAACACAAACATAAAATTATGGGCGTAAATTAAATTGGTTGATTAGAATGCAACGAATTTTTACAAGAGGGACTAATTTGAATTTCCCTGTCGCTATTTGAGTTTATGGCCTCACAAATGATTAACTGAGAATGGAGAGCCTGGAAGTGTTATGAGCTGCTATTGAGGTCGAGCCTCGCCCCTTTTTTGTTAACAGGCGTCAGCTATCCGAGATGAAGATTAAATTTCGTCTCCATGTTTTGTCCCGTATTGAAATGTTTTAATTATAATTTTGTTGGGACTGCAGTGTTAATAATATTTTCTTATGAGCCTTGTTTTAATGGAAAGATAATCATTGTCAGATAGCAATTTGTCAGATTATGTCTGTGATCGCTTTATGTTTTTGTTGCAACTTGAACTATAAAACGACTCAATAAAAAATACTGAAGTCATGAAATGCTGTGCGCTGTTTTCTAATACTTTACGGTACCTTGGCCAATCCTACAAACCCTGAGCTGATCTGCTCTAGGAAGCCCGCACAATAAACCCAACCTGATAGTCGCAGTGTAATCTCGAATTGGCAAATTAAACTCACCGCAGCTTTTGAACTCAATCAATTGCCTGATAATAAAATACAAGTTGTTTAGTCTTCTTTCCCAAATATCCCCATTGCAATTTGCACAACTTAACACAGCCAGTGTTTTATACAGACGACCTCACGCAATAGGGGCGGAGATTATTTGCTGCTGAAATTGACTTGAAATCGATCCAAATTTAAACTAAATGTCTGAACAACTATTTGAACTAGCATTAATCTGAAAAAATCTTACTACTTAATGCACTACTGGGTAACTATAAGATAAAATGAAATCGGATTTTTTAATCACTCATTTTTCCTGCTATGATTGCTTATTGGGTGAAGTTTTTCCCTGTAAAAACGGTATTTTGATTAAGTAGTTTCTAATCCCTAGTATAAGTCCCTTTCATCCGCTTTGTTCCCCCAAAATTACACAATCCACTATTAAATTGCCTAATTTTGCTTTCTTTCACATAATCAATCGAATTGTTCCTCCTTTTTCAGCAAGATTAAAATCCTTGTTTGTTCACTACTAAATGCAATTGTTATGCGATTTTGTTGGCAGAACAAGTGAAGTTATTCGAAATAGTTAAGCTTTATTTTGGGATTAAAATAGTATAAAGAAGTCTTATGTTTGACGTTTTTGTTATTTCAGGAAAGAAACTGGACGGCCCAGATTACGGAGATAATTCGTATGGAGCTGCAGATGAAAGCAGAGCTATTTTGTACCATTCGGAGAATCAGAAAAGCGTCGTGAGAATTCGAGGCTGTGACGAGTCAAACCCGCACGACTTGAGAATGTTCGCGTTGGAATGTGCGACCATGTCACAGTTCTACCACCCGAATGTGCTGATGATGCACGGGGTCGCCTACGACGGACCCAGAGTCTACATGTGTTTGGAGGAGGTCGCGCATGGGGGATTGGACGGGTACCTGAAGGCGTGTTTTGCAGATGGAGATGGGGGTTTGAGCCAGTTGCAGCTGGTGCATCTTTTGAGAGGTGTTGCTTGTGGCATGCAGTACCTGACAGAACTGGGATATGTTCATAAGGTACGAGTTAAGCCCATTTCCAACTTTTTTCCAATTTTTTTTTCTAGTTTTTACTCTTTACGCTGAAGTGACTGCACTCTAATTCAGCTTGTGGAAAAAGCTGAATTAGGGGTAAGGCATCTTCATCAAAGAAAGTGTAATCAGTATTTACAAATAATTTTTTTTTAAAAACTATTGTTGTTCAAGTTTTGTTGATGATAGAAAAAGTATCATAAATAAAAACAGAGATTGAAGTGTCACTTTTATCTAAACTTGGTTTCGAATAAACTCAAGTTGATTTGAGTTAATTAAGCGCAGCGTCTTAGAAGACATCTAAATTGATTTTTGATACAACAGTGGCGCATCATGATGCTTCGATTGATTGGTATTGGTGGAGCTTGTTGTCGAATTTAATGCTCAGCTTGTTTTCTCAATTTATTCCCTGCAGCATTTATTGAAAAGCCGACAAAATTGACTTATTGACACTTGGCGAAAAAGATTCAGTTATGAACTGAGAAAGGATTTCCTTGTGATTTAATGCATCTGAACGTTTATTTTCCAACTGTGAAAACAATGGATTGATTGACAGACAGGTCTTTAGTCTCCAATTTGAAAGATCTAAATTGCAGACAACTTGGTCACAAAAGGTGCGCTTACTTAATGGAACGACTATTTTTTCGGTGGTTTATGTAATTTTCCTTGAAGTTTTCAAAAGAAAACATGTTACAGCTTTCGAGTTGACATAAAAAAGGCATTTTTCGCATTCTAATTTAAACTGTGTATAATTGATTTAAGCCTCGCATAAAACTTGGGACGTAGTGTGTGTTCATTTTTAAAGATTTTATGATGCTCAATCAAACTTATAAGGGGCTCTGGGAGGCCGATCTTGTTAAGGGGGACTGTTTTATGAAAAAGTAATAGCGTGCTGGCTGATGACAGGAGCAGTTGCAAATAAGCTCATTTAAATTTAAATGGGAGGAAAAAAGTGCGTTAAAAAGGAAGTGGTAAAAGCGGTCTTCGGGGGATTGGTTGTAAAAAGTCTTGAATATTTTATGGATTTGTTGTAAAAATGCCACCTTTTCTGGCCAGTTTTATAGTCCATTGCGTAAGCCGCTTTATAGCGAAAACACCGTTAAGTCAGAAACAAATAAATTATTGGATATTGTCTTCTCAATGATGACTTGTGGCCGAGCTGTTTAGTTGTAAAACTAATGGCTCTATCGTTTTTATTCCATTTATATTGTCATGTTTTTGTGTATGTAACACTTGAAGACTTTTACAGTTTAGGAGAAAATTATGGCACTTGAACGTTTGAAATTGTGTTGAAAACGTTTAAAATGTAAATTCTTAGAAGTAATGGAATGATATATGCTTGATGATGCTTCGAAAATGTTTTCTTTAAATTTACAAATTGGAAATTGTAAGCGTTATTGACGCAATATTAATGAAACTGCATTGAATATTAGTTAAAGACTTAAAAAGCCAAAAAAACAGTTTTTCAGGTGCTGTGTGCCAGTAATGTTCTTGTGAGTGGATCTGGGCTGTGCAAAATAGGAGGCTTCGAGATGAGAGCCCTTTTGGAAGAGGAAGAGCTACAAGGCAACCAATCCAAAGTACGTCAATCCATTTCCCCTTCCTTTTCCCGCCCGCCTCCCTGCTTTTCATTCTGTCTGGGTGCCCTTTAACCCTTCTCTAATCCTGGCTGCCTGTCAAAATATAATCTTTTGATCTGAGTCAAATTAAAAGAGCTTTTAGAGCACGCCGAGTCTTCCAGAAACTGCTCATTCAAGGGGCAACTACGTAATCAATTTAGTTGATGAGCTAGATGCACTAATACACTGGGTGTGATTGATAATATTGATTTTTCCTCTTAATAAACACAATTTTATTACTAAAAGCTTGCATTACTTGGGAAGTTCAGACAAAAAAGGTGTCAGCTTGGCCAAAATACATGATGACAAAAATCCGCAAGGGGGCTCCTTATATGCGAAAGGAGTAAAATTCCTTAAGAGGATGGTCAATTCTTTACACATAATGAAAGCATCTGAATTTAAAAAAATTTCATAGCTCCGTTTGGATAGATAAACTATTCAAATGTATAAATTGAAAAATCAGATTGTCCGATGTCATTCATGTTATAAATAATGAGGTACGTTGCCTCTAGCATTGACATGGAGCGTCTTTTCGTAGAAAATTTTCGAAACTTCTCATTTTTGGTGCAAAAATCAAATGATCAGTATCGATTTGCACAGTACACTGACACTTTATATTATATAAACGGTCTTAATTTTTGTGTTTGTGTTTTAGGTGTCGGAAGCACTAGTGAGCTGGCTCTCTCCTGAAGTGCTGGCCTGTAGGAAGTGGAGCAGTGCTAGTGACGTGTGGGCATTCGGAGTACTCGCATGGGAGACCCTATCCCACTGCCAACAACCACCCCCTCCCCCTCTCTCCACTCTGACGTCATCCCTCAAAACTAATCAGGGCAATGGTACCACCACTGCTGCTGATACGAATAGCGCCAATACTACTGCTGCTGCTGCAATTGCCAAAAACACGCAAGAGGTAAGATGCTGTTCTAAACGAGTAGTCAAGGTTTTCTGGCTGTGATTATGATGAAAAATTTGTTCTCGAAATTTGCTTCTATTGCCAATAATAATAATAGTATTGGTTAAATTGTAGAGCAATTATTTATAAAAGTTGAAAAGGCGCTATGGAATTTTTACAACTGATGAAAAAGTTTCTAGTTCATTTTGGATATTGACAGGAAAATTTTATTTTTTCAACAATAACGCTCTGATCTAGTTCTTATTTTTGTTTGAACATGACAGTTAGTCTGTATCGATCGACATATGCAATGATATTGTTATGATCAGTTCATCGCTATATTGTTATGATCAGTTATGATCAGTGCTTTCAACCAACCTCCGAAAACGTACTCTCCCTCCTAATGACTCAGTTTTTATCTCGTTTTACTTTTTATCTGCCTATTGAGCATACATGCAACAGTTTAATCTTTAATCTATGTTTGTCACAACCAAACTGCAAACAGAATAACAGCAAAATTTATGAATCAAATCACATCAATCCAAATATACAAATTACGCTGATAGCTGGCGTTGCGGTTAAAGAAACAAAAAGTGCGACCTTGTTGCTTGAATCAAGAGTAAATTACGGTGCGCGAAGCCCAAGTTGGGTTATATTATGAATGTCTCTTGTTGAAATGCCACCCTTAATTTTGCAGGGGGTTTGAGTTTGCAATTATAGATAGATAACAATAAGACGAGGGGATGCCTCAAACCAAATGCGCCACCTTCAAGGCTTGTCATAAATTGTCTGCCTTCTCAGATATTATTTACGGCCGAGTGGCTGGTGCGGGATTCGAATGATACAACTGTTTATTTACTGAAAGCAAAATACCGTGAAGTCATCTGGGTTGTGTTGCTAAATTACCTGGCTAATTACATACCGATATGGGCAAATAATAAACAATTGACTTGTTCAAATAGATTTTTTTGCCTTGAAGCTTTTCTTATGTCTTGTCCAAATTGTTTTAAAACCAAGTCATTCGTTCAAGCAACTTGAACTAGTATAAGTTTTGTACTTGGCAACCTTGTCTTACTGTTTCCTGGCAATCTCAGCCTTATGTTGTCAGCCAAATCATTTTTGTTGAAACATTATGTGCTTCTTGCACAGCAACCCTTGTTTCATGTGTGTGGACATTTAAAATGTGTATCAATTGTTGTTTTTCCGATTTCAGATCTCGAAGAGTCTAGAGAGTGGCAGCCGACTTCCCCTTTTGGAAGGCATGTCGCCTGTTCTCTATGAAGCAGTGATGCTGAGAGGCTGCTGGCCTCTGGACAGGACACACAGACTCAACTTCGCCCAATTGAGGGATCTGTTAGAGAGGGCCATCAGAAACCCCTCTCAGATTCACAATTATGACTCATCTGTTGGGGGAGCCAATGTGCCACAGTTCAGTCCCAACGCCACCGCAAAGTAATTTTGATCTTTTTTTCGGAAAAAAAATCGTTTGTTTTATCGAATAGTTTGCAAAGAAATTGTTAGTTTTAGTTTCAATGCCACGTCAAATAAAAATAAAATTTGCAAAACATCGAAAAAAGTTGTGCGTTTCCTTTCAAAACCGTTAACTGATAACGAAATTATTCTTTGTTATAAACCTGTGTTTTGCTCAGAAATGTATTATTGCATTGAAATTCCTCGTAGAAATTCTGCATTATTATTGGCAAATGAAAAAATAAGTTAGCTTCGAGGGCTGTTTCAGTTTCAGCAGGTCTAAAAAGCTGACATTATTCATAATAAAATTACTGTCAAAAGTTAGTCCTTTTAATCATTTTATCATTAAAAGTAATGTTTTAATATGTTTTTATAAAGCAATATTGATTAACAGTTCTATCAACTAGCTGAGATGTATAATATTAATAATTGTATATGAAACAATACTTTTAAGTCTTTCAAGTTGAGATTGTTTATGCTTTTTTTGATGCCTTTTTGATGCCTTTTTGATCACTTTGTTGATGCAAGGAGACGAAACGCTTTAATTAATTCCACTTTTTCATCACCTTGAGGGCTTAATTGTCTTATATTGTACAAAATATGGATAGGTGACCGTGGAGATTTTGAAAAGGAAGACATTTTTTTAATCAAAAAGAGCATTTTGATGTGATTATTTCGAAATAGAAAATCTTTTTTTTTCTTTTTGTAGTGAGAAAATACAAGAAAAATCCTACAGAAGTCTTATCAATGGGCTATTTTACTATCAAGCAATGGATACTATAATTTAAACTGACGGGAAAAGTGAGGCGAGAAAACGTCACCCATTTTCCCACCTATTCTAAATTTATCCGTTTGATTGATTAAGTCAACGACAATTGAGATTTATTTTCCATTGTATCCATGCCCGATGATTAAGGAATTCAGGTTGAGTGATTAAGATAACTGATTATAGTGTTGAAAAGGGTAAATAATAGCCTAGTGGGATGCTAATTCGGACCACAGTTACTGGATTGCTATTAGGAAATTTGCCTCATTTCCTGAACACGTGAACAGCTCTTTAAAAGGGGCTGATACTTCCTTATTGATTTAACGCATCCTGAACATGGAATAAAATACGCATGAAGAAATTACCTTAGTTTAAATGATGAACCGGAAGTGTGTGAAATTTAAAGCGCTTCGCGTAGCTGAAGTTCAAATTAAGCCCATAATTAAGGCAATTTTATGGTTGGGTAGAAATTTGAGTGTAAAATTTAGACGTATAGAAGGATTCTACATTTTGAGCTGTAAGCACAAATTTTGTAAGTTTGGAAGAAAAAAAACAATTTTTTGTTTGTTAAATTTTTGAAAACCGTTTAAAAATATCAGAAAGTCGAGACATTTCTGATGTTTTTTGTTCTTTTTAGAATGACTTCCAGCCACAATTCGTTCTACTCAACCCTTGGACACTACAATCAACAACAGAACTATTCACAACAAAAACAACAATCCAGAATAAACCCCTACTTGCCCCAGAGGCAAAACTACAGCACCCAGTATTCGCCACTGCCACGTAATGCTGCACCCCCTGCCTCATATAACTCCAACTACACTCTATCGGAGAATTCGAGACATAACTACTCAATGTCGGCTGCCTCTTCCGCCTCAGTGCAAGAATGGCTGCATTCGCTGAAGATGGACCAGTACATACCTCTTTTCACATCGGCAGATTATTTGACCTTGGAAGATCTTACGTACCTGGAAAACAACACGTTAGAGAAAATCGGAATATCTTCAGCGAAACACAGAAAGCAATTGTTGAGCAGTATCGAAGGAATGCGAATGGGTGGCGCTGAAAGTTTAACACATCAAACGACAAACGGAGGAATGCTTCAGCAACCTACCTTAAAGCAGATCAGTTTGGCCAAAGAAAGCGCAGTCCACGTTATTATGTAGCGGTTCAGACTTGTTGAATAAAAACTAAAACTTTTATACAGAATCTAAAACTCTATAAGTTTTGCTGCTTTTCATCATTATTTAGTTGTTTTATTCTCTAATATCTATTTTGTTCCTTTATTTATCACAACAGCGCTTACATTATTTTATTTCGGAAAGTTCCTCCGTTCCTGTTCACCTAAAAGTAAAAGTGCAGTAGTATTAGGTGCCAACCAAGTCAAGCTCTGTTTTCTGTTAAGATTCGAATCGAAATCTCTAAATTTAAGCAATTCGTATCTATGCTTTTCATGAGCTAAAAAATAGAAGCGTAACGGCGTGTAATTTTTTTTATTAGCTCCCGGTCCTACTCAATGCAGGACCAACGGTAGGGGAGGGTGATATCAATCATTATGCAGTACCTGGATCCACTATGAGGGTGACACTGGGAGCCCTCCAACCGTGTCCGAAGTGTGATTCGAAGGCATGACCCTCGTGTTGAGAGACGTGTGCCTAACCCACTCGGCCACGGCTGCTCCAACGTGCTCAACCATGTTTTTGATTCGGAAAGACGTGTGATACGCCGCTTTCGATATTAATTACATGTGACCGGGGGTTCACGTTTTTCCCTAAATGAATTTCACAGAATGGTCATAGTTAAAAATGGTAAATTCAGATTAGTTCGTTTTAAACTAAGGAGCGTAGTGTAATAGTACGACGTCTGATTTTCCGAACGAAGTCGCACATATTGGTGCCATCAAATGAACCGAAAAACTATTTGTTGTAAACAAAAACAAAATTTGATTGCAGAAAATTTCCATCTCAATTTCGAAATTTTTTTGAAATGCCAAAATTATACATAATGCAGGCATCATGGTTTCCAATTTGTTACATTCAAACTTAAAAGGAGGGAATCAGTTCGTGATCATCCCAAGTTTTAAAAAAATTCTGTCGATTTGCGGTTGGTGCTGCTTTAGCTGCATCGCACTGGCAATTTCTCAGCATCCGTCAATTTGTCAGTCGCCGTGAGGGTAGACAGGATAGTCCTTATTCCAAATTCGCAGGTTCAAATCCGTTCCCCCTAGTGTTTGCAAAGCACTGCTTCGCCTCTGTATGGATTCAAATTTCTTTGCGTCTGCGAAGCACTTGTTCTTAAAGTAGCGAATTCGCCTGGGTCGGGGAAATGTCCTGTATTCAAATCTAACAGAAAAAATTATGTTCAAAAATTGCCAGCAAAATGGTCTGATTATGTTTCGCCGGCTTAGTTGCAATGTCGTAGATTTGTCTTTTTGTTTGCTGTACGCAATTTGCATTTTAGTTTGTTTTAGTGTTTGATTTACTTCTGTTTGTAATTTTACTTTTTTTTTGCTTTTTGCTTGGAAGTTTCTTTCGGCATCTTTTTAATCGGCTTATGTTTAAGTGGCCCTATATTGCTCGTTTGATGACCAAAAAATCATCGTGTTTTTTAGGGTCAAAGGGAAAGGGATTCGAACATTTTTTTGTTAAATTAAACGTTTTTTTTCGTCTGAAACAATTTTTGCTCAAGTATTTTCAGCTTTTTCTTTTTCAAAGTTTTTTTATACAGCTACTTTTTTCTTTTTTAGTTCCTTTTTGTTTTTTAATTTTGTTCCCCTTTTTGAATGGTTCAAACTTAAAAACAGCGTATGCGACAAAATGAAGTAGTTACTTGAGCCGTTTTTATATGGCCTTAAAATCATTTGACTATCTTCCACTGTAGCGAAATAGTTATTGTGAAAACAAACAAAAATGTCAACAAATCAAAAAAATGAATTTTTTCCAGAATCATGGTTTGTTGTGTAAAATTTTTAGGCGTAGTAGGTCACCATGTTGACAAATTAGCCCGGTTTAACTTTCAAAATTGTGACTGTGGTATGTCTTACTGTGTGAGAGAAGCCTTAAAATTTCGCTTGCTAAGGTGGAAGACCACTGACTCAGGTTTAAGAATTGTCTTAAAACTTTTATCTAAACGTTTATCATGGCACATTTAAAAATGATAGCAAATTACTTTGCATACTTCCAAAAAAAAATTTTCAAACTTTATAGCATTCTTATTTAAAATAATTTTGATTGATTTAACTATTTTTAACTATTTTAATTAACACATTTTTTAGCATTGTCAATTAAAATAGTTTTAAATCACGTTTTTTGCTCATCAGTGTTTGGAATTCAAAATCACAAGTAACAAATCAGTTTTGCCATCGGTCAGCCTTTAATTGTTACACGAAGGCAAAACAAACATATAAACAAACATAACACAAAGATAAAAAAACAGAAACGTAAAAAACAAATCGAAAAAAAGAAAAATTCGAAAAAATGAGTTAAAATAAAAGTTAGAAAAAAGACAACAATAGGCCAAGCTAAAACTGGAGTAATATGTTTGATGTTTTTGAGTTTGTTCTACTGATGCTGGACCAAATGCCTAATTTCAAAGCTTGAATTTTGCCGTGTTTTTGAAGTTTTGAACTTTTCCCAAGCAAACAAAGTTTGGCTCACAAAAATTAAGGAGTCGCGGCCTCTACACAAAATATTCTCGCAATCAGTTCTTTCGGCTGAATTTATAATTTCAGATTTTTTAAGATAGTTTTTACGAAAAAAAGTTTCAAAAACAAGTTCAAAAGCTTGACTTTCCATAATCCAGTAGTTTTTTTCTGCAAGAAGTCAAGTAGTGGCCGCTACTGTAGAAAAATTCCCAAAATTCGGATATCTCGACTGAACACTACCTGCGAATTGGCATGGTAGTTTTCGAGTAATGTCAAAAAAATTACCAACAACGCTCAAAGTGATATATTTTTGACTTGTTTCTAAAAAAAATGTGGCGTCGCCAGTTGAAAAGGAAAGTTTTCGACAAGCTGTATTGTCAATTACACCCATGAATTTCGTTTGTACAGAACAAATATCAAGCGAAAAAAAAATCTCAACTACTTCTCAAAATCTTTAAAAATTGGGCGTAGCTGCTTAAGCAGTAAAAAAATTACGCAACCTATATTTTCGATTGAAATCAAAAAGTCAGGTTTTGGATGAAAGTTCTCGAAAAAAGTCAAACCGTTTCAAAAACGCTCAAAAAACTTTTTTTGGGGGATGATAAGTTTTTGTGTCAAACAATAAGGGTGTAGTTGAGTATGCAAAAGAGCTTCCAACAATCCGTTCCTTGTATTGAATTCAAACTCACAAATTTGTGAGGATAGTTTTTGAGAAAATTTAAAATATTTAAAAAATGATGGAAAAACTTTCCGAGGGCAATATTATTGCGTATATGAAAATTGTGAGTGGCCGTAAATAAAAAGAAGTTTTCCAAGGCCCTCTATCCTCATTGAAACCACAATCACAGATTTTGGGGGTTGGTTTTCGAGAAAAGTCAAAAATATTCAACACCTTGTCAAACGAACAAAATTTTGCAATTCCGAGAACCATAAACTTATGTGCAACATTTTTATATAGCCGCGTATGCAGGGAAGTCTTTTAAGACCCTTTTTATCCATTTTAAGAATTAAAGCCAAATTTTCAGATAGGGTAGCTTTTGAGAAAATGAAAAAAAATCATAAAAAAATGGGTGCAACATTCCCCCGCAGAGTTTTCCGCAGGCTGTTGACCATGGAAAAAAATTGAAAGAGACAAGGTGATTAGGCAGACACACACGGAACTACGCGTTCTTTTATTGATCCGCTTTCATTCGAAAATCGGCCAGAGATCCAAAATTGTAGGTGAAAACGGAAAATAGTTATGAGAAATCTAAAATTGTAAGTGAAAAAAGTTTTTCCAAAAAATCTCACAAAATGTTCGTAAGCAAGAAAAAAAAAACTATAAATTTTAAATTAGCAACAGAACAAAAGTAAGGAAACGAAAAGTTAGTTCACAATCTTTGAACGGACGCCAATTCAGCCGTAAAAAACTTATTTAAAGAAAAAACGAGTCCCGTTGAAAATTTAATTGACAACATTTTCAACTAACATGATAAATGCCTCAGTGATGTAGCAACTAAATAAGCAGAGGAAATTTGAGCAGATAGACGAAAGTACGACAACTCAAATTTCACAGGAAACGTTTTCAATTGTAATAAAACTAAAAAACAAACAAGTTCAGCCAGCAATTCAAAATACGGTGCAAAGGCAAAACTATTACCTCTAGGCCAAGTGTAAAGGAGACTGGAAGTCTTCAAAACTCAATACTAAAGCAAATTGAAATTTTGTAAGGAAAGTTGTTTACGGAAAATAGTCTAGTTGACGACTATAAGACGCTAGCTTTCGCTAATGCAAAAAAGACTTTGAACTAAAAATACTTATGAGCGATCACTTGTGTTACTCCAAGTGAAAATACTGAACTGATGTAAGCTGATACTTAACATTCCCTGACTTAGTGTTATCTTAGTTATCAATGCAGAAAAAAAATCTTTTCGAGCACTTTTTTGGAAGTGTGAAAAATACTTTACCGTCGTTTTCGAATTTCATTTTTTCCGTGCTACGTCTAAAGGATTTCAACCATGGTCGCATAATGAATACGGCAAGCTTATAGCACGAATTGTTGCTCCTTTTTTGCCAAATAGCTTTAGTAATTTAGAAACTTTCCGTGCTACGTCTGAAGGATTTCGATGCGATACCTCATGGTCGCATAATGAATAGGGCAAGCTTATAGCACGAACTGTAGCTCTATTTTTGCCAAATAGCTTTAGTAATTTAGAAGCTTTTCATGAGAACTGGCTTTTACTAGAAAGTGAGATTTTTAATCTACAGGTCGGAGGATCCAGCTCAGAGGTTTTTTCTATAATTCGTTTTGTTTTTGTTCTGAATGATTTTTTTTTGCAGCTGTATTGCTGGTACCGAAAAAATTTTAACACAAAGGAGAAGCTGCACTTCGCAAACACATGCAAGATGTGTCGAGAAGCGTCAGTTGTATATGTTGGATTGATTCAGCCGAGGAGAATTTAGACCCTCATGTATTAAGACAAGCTAAAGAGTATCTGGTCTTCCTCCTAGGTATTAACCTAGGGAATAGGTTTCCCAATGCACTAGGAATGTCGGTTTCAGATTGTAAGATTTTAAGTTTCAGAAAAAATACAAAATTGTTGCAGTCAAAATTTCGTATTTGTTTATTAAAGCAAAATAGTGGACGTAAATAACAATTTTCTCAGAAAAAAACGTCAAATTTGAAACAACAGTTGTTACTCACTGTGGTGAGTCAAGACGCTGAAGTATGTAAACAAATTTAATGTTTGTTTATTTAAGCGAGGTAGTGGACGTACACAAAAATTTGCTCAGAAAGTTTTGTCAAAATTGCAACACCAGA